GCAACCGGTGAGCCAGCGGCTGTCTCCCAATCATGACAAAAAGCCATCTAACCAGAGCTGTGTCGCAGTGCGAGAGGACTACAGTCCCGACGGAGACGCGTGGAGTCGTGAGGATCTCCCCCCGCCTGCTTGCTCCACGAGCTCCAATTGCAGCCCGCTGACAGACCAACCCCAGACTTTACCCACGACGATGCACGATCCCGAGCTTACAGATGGGGTGAAGACGGAATTGCTGGCGTTTCCGACACCCACGGTTTCCAAAACATCGCATTCGCCTTCTGGAACGAGGAAGAGTAGGTCGGCGTAGAAAATCATATCGATCAGCTCAATTGCTGATGATACGATAGCGATTTTCTCAAGGAGAGGCTCTTTGGTCTCTCTAATCCTCAGGGCAACCATGGCGAAAGCGTCAAGGAAGCTCATTTCCACGTCGATAACACACCCGTGAGTAACCATTCCAACAATCTTCCAGAATAGGAACAAAGCTAACAACTTCGGCAGACGGTAAGCCCAAAGAAGGATTCAACTGAGATCATTGATGCTGACGAACAGACGTAGCACTCTTACATGAAGTTCCTGTACAAATACCCCCAGAAGAAGTTTCCGTACAAGGATCTCCTTGACGAGAACGCGAAAAGAGGCAAGACAGACAAGGAATACCAGATTATCGACACTGGTGTTTTCGAGGAAGACAGATACTGGGATATTTTCATCGAAACTGCCAAGGCGACCGACGACCCTGAGGAAATCCTGTTCCGTGTGACGGCATGGAACAGAGGTCCCGATCCGGCACCCCTCCACATTATCCCGCACATGTGGTTCCGCAATACCTGGGCCTGGGGCCGCGAGCCCGAGGACAAGAAACCGTCCGTTGAGGCATACGCGGAGAGCATGGTCAAGTCCAAGCATCACAAGCTTGGCGACAGGTATCTTCTCATGTCGCCCTCGCCTGGTGTCGGCTCTAGCGGCGACGACGTCCTTCCCAAGATGATGTTCACAGACAATGACACCAACTATGAATTGTTGTACAAGCAAGAGAACAAGACTCCCTATGTCAAGGATGCATTCCACAGGTACATTGTCGATGGCGAGAAGGAAGCAATCAACCCCGAGCAGAAGGGAACCAAGAGCGCCGCATGGTTCAGTTTCAACGAGGACGGCGGTGTTGGCCCTGGCGAGTGCGCGGTTGTACGTTTCCGCCTTTCCAAGCGGAATGAGACATATTTCGACGAAGGCGAGTTTGATGACTTGATTGACCTCAGAATTGCCGAAGCCGATGATTTTTACTACCGCCTCAGCCCGTTGCCGATGGCTGACGACCTCCGCAACATCCAGCGTCAGGCGTTCTCTGGCATGATGTGGACCAAACAGCACTACCTGTTCATTTGGGACCAGTGGGCGAATGGGGACCCAACTCAGCCACCGCCGCCGCCAAGCAGGAAGGACATCCGCAATAATCAGTGGAAGCACATGCATTGCGACGATATCTTGTCCATGCCTGATTCTTGGGAATACCCTTTCTTCGCCGCTTGGGACAGCGCCTTCCACTGCATCACGCTCGCCATGCTGGATCCTGACTTTGCAAAGAAACAGTTGGATCTCTTCACTCGCGAGTGGTACTGTCATCCGAACGGTCAACTGCCAGCGTGAGCTGCCTACCATATGCGTTGAAACAAAGACGGTGTTTGCTGACTAGGAACAGATATGAATGGAACTTTGGCGATGTCAACCCCCCCGTCCACGCGTGGGCCACCTTCCGCACGTTCAAAATTGAGCGCAAGCTGTACGGAAGGCAGGATCTGGACTTCCTTGAGCGAGTTTTCCAGAAACTATTGTTGAACTTCACTTGGTGGGTTAACCGCAAGGATGCCGAGGGCAAGAACGTCTTCGAGGGAGGTTTCCTCGGCCTCGACAACATCGGCCTCTTCAACCGATCTGAGCCGTTGCCGACTGGCGGCTCCCTGGAGCAGGCCGACAGTACCGGCTGGATGGCTTTCTACTGTCTCAGCATGCTGAACATTGCCCTTGAGCTTGCCAAGCACAGGCGCACCTACGAGGATATTGCGTCCAAGTTCTTTGAGCACTTCATCTTCATCAGTGACGCCATGACCTTCAGGACTGGCCAGAAGGACGAGAAGTCTCTGTGGAACGACGAGGATGGCTTCTACTACGATGCCATTTCTTGGGGTGGCCCCTGGATTCAGCAGCTCCCTGTCCGATCTTTGGTCGGCCTGATTCCACTCTACGCCACCATGACTCTGGAGCCTGAGCTGATTAACAAGCTGCCCTCGTTCAAGAAGAGAGTGGACTGGTTTATAGAGAACCGCTGTGACTTGGCCGAGAGAAACATGGCCAGTATCGCTAAGCGTGGCGAGGGCAACAGAATCCTGCTGTCTATCGTGAGCAAGGACAGGCTCGAGAAGATTCTCAAGCGCATGCTTGACGAGGATGAATTCTTTTCCGAGCACGGCATTCGGTCTCTTTCCAAGTTCCACGAGAAGAATCCCTTCTCAATGGACGTCAACGGGCAGACCTTCTCCGTCGGATACGTACCAGGCGATTCTGACAGTGGCTTATTCGGAGGCAACAGCAACTGGAGAGGACCCATCTGGCTGTGTGTCAACTTCCTCTTGGTTGAGTCCCTCCAGCGCTTCTATTTGTTCTACGGCCATGAGTTCCAGGTCGAGTGTCCCACAGGCAGCGGCGACTACATGCATCTCGGCCACGTCTCGAGAGAGATCCAGCACCGTCTGCAGCACTTGATGTCTCTCAACGACGATGGTCGTCGCAGCATCAACGCCGGAAACGACTTACTCGATTTTGACCCTTACTGGAAGGACTACCTCTGGTTCTACGAGTTCTTCGACGGCGACTCCGGCCGTGGTCTCGGTGCCACCCACCAGTGCGGTTGGACTGGCCTGATGGCCAAAATCATTCACGACACTGGGTAAGCTTCCTAGTTTTGATGCTTGTTCTTTTCTCCTTGTATGCGTGCTAACAACGATCACAGTATCACCTGCCGCCTTCCACAGACTCCCCGCACTCCTTCTGCTGGCATGTCGCACTACTTCGACGATATCCTCACTCGCTCGATCAAGCGCCGCGACTCTACCGCCCCAGGCACCCCGGGACCTAACGGCAAGCCACGCATGCGCAGATCTTCTACCGCACGCTCCATCGGCGCACGTAGCGACTTCGACTCCGAGATGAACGGACAGGACGGCGGCGACGATTCGCTCGGCAACTCGGTCACTTTGGAGGATCCGGACAAGCTGCGCGAGAGGATGAGGGAGCGCTCGGAGGCGGACGCGCACATGCATCGCTACATCTCAGATCAGCTCCAGCGCTACAAGGATGACAAGGAGGATAAGGAGTATGTCAACGGCGGCGACGAGTACGAGACCAGAGCCTAAGTGATTTATGTGACTTGTAAGTATCGTCCTGTCTGGTTAGTATAATCGTCATTCGATGCTTTTCTGAGTGTGGGAGAGCGAGAGAATGGCTTGGAATGTAATGGCGACCAAGGTACCGGGCGAGAAAACATTTATGTGAGAGAGCGTGGGAGGGGGGCTTCAGAAGAATAGAGATTGCATGCGGGAAACTTTCCTTGGTTACGAATTTGAATATTACTGCCATCAGTGCATATAAAGCCACAGACAGAACTATTAGAATGTGGAACAGATAGATTTCAATTTTTTCAGGCTTCTGATAAGTACACGGAGAGTCCAGCTCATCTACTTTGTTTGTCGCCCAGACCTGGCTCGTCTCAGCATGGTCCTTTGTGCGTGAATCACTCAAGTAGCCAGCCTCTCTGCCTTCCCAATTCAAGAATGTTCTCTCACCTGCCTGCCTGCCTGCCTGCCTGCTTTACCTCCCCTCAACGCATGAACCCTTCCCCCCCTCCCCTTCCCTTTTACCCAACCTGTTGCCTCGTCACCGTCAACCAAGCCTGATGAAGGGCCAAGTGGCCCAGAGGTATAACGCTGAGAGTCGTTAGTTTGAACTTGGCATGAAATCCGATTGCTGGTTTCGTAGGGTCTGCGGTTCGAGTCCGCACCTGAGCTTTTGTCTTCTAACTTGCTCGAGCTCTTCTCACCACCCCTCCTCTATTCCACTTTTAGTTTCTCCTTTCTACCTTTCTAGGCCCCCTTTCCGCCCTCTAGCCGATGCCATACGTTCATTGCTAGGCTCTCTGTATCCAAAGGCGACTTTATCCCAGCGGGACAAGACTCGGCCCGCAACATGCGCAGCATCTTGAACCAACCCGTAGTCGGGCTTGATCAAAAGCGGGCAATTTTCTTTTTTGACGACTAAACGAGAATACCACATGTGCCCTCGGCCTTTGATGACTCCTTGTCTGAACGAAAGTCTCGTTTTAAATGTGAATTGAGAAATCAGGGTCATTGGAACTGTGTCCAAGGGGCCAGCCAAGTCGAGGAACGCCCTAATGTTGTTGAACGCGACTATTGCTCATCATGCAACACCATCGTGTCAGCTTGCGAGAACGCTCATGTAGTCCTTATCGGTTGACAGCAGCGGGTTCGTAGGGCATGGGTGTCACTGGTGTCCTCACCCTACCTACACAAACACGACGTCTACTCGCTTGACTCGCAATCTAGATCATATCACCAAAATCAGAGTACCGTGAATGCTTCTATTGTAGACTATGCACAGCTCGTCTCATGGCCTGGAATAGGATCCCTCCCATCTCTCTCTCACCCAGTCGAGGCCGAAGGACCCAACGACAGTTTCTACAGAAAGATGACGTCTTTTCAGAAGAAACTTTTCCCGTTTCCCCCCTTTCACAAGCCACCTCCCACCCCATGGCCAAAGTTTACAAGAAACACACACACAAAGAGAAATCAGTTCGGCGGGGAGGTGTGGGAAGGGGATTAGATGAGTCATGGAGATATGCTAGTCGGTTGCTTCATCTTTTACTCTTCTCTTCTCTCATAAAAAAAAGGGAGGGGCTTGATGGTTTTGTTATGGTAAGAACTGTTTTACAAAGTGTCGGTAAGGAGCTTGTTGAGCTTGGCGATCTTGGAGGAGACGCTAAGGTCAATGGTACGGTCGCCGACCTCAACGATGAGGCCACCGACGATCTCGGGGTTGACCTGGATATTGTGTCAGTCCATGTTGCGCTGAAGAGCGCCGAGCTTCACCCGGTCCGAGGTGATCTCGGGGACTCGGCCGAGGTGAAGTAACGTACCTGGTTGGTGACCTTGAGCTTCTTGCCCTGGCCGACGTAGGAGGACTTGGTGATGGCAGACTCCAGTCTGTTGAGAGTCTTGTTGTCGAGTTGCTGCAATGATGTCAGTCGCAATTTTCGTGTAAGTCATCATCCGCTCTGAAATCTGCTTGTTGAGAACCGCACATATGCGCGGTATTTCTGTTCGTCGAGAAAGTTCCGCCGCCAGACCCTCAAGCAAGCTTCGTCTTCTTGATTCACTGGATGCTCATGCCCTCCTCAAAGCAGAAAACACAATGCAACATTCCCTCAGCATGGTGTGAGACGTACCGTAGCGCTGGTGACAATAAGCTCAACCTCACCACGAGCAGCGCTCATGATCTCGCCGAACTTCTGGCAGACACCGGGGAGGAGGCCGAGGCGGTTGTTCTCGGCGAGGGCGGCAAGGAAGTTCTTGACGGTCTCCTGGGAGCCGGCGCCGGCCTGCTTGGTGAGCTCGGCGACGATGGCGGTCTTGTCCTCGGCGCTCAGGGTAGGCGCGGCCAGGATGGTGGACAGCTTGGCATCCTTGCTGACGAGGGCCTCGAGGCTGGACAGAGCCTTGGCCGTGGGGTCGAGGGCGGAGGTCTTGACAGCGGCGGTGTACTGTGGTAAGTGAACGCAGTTAGCGATTGTGTCGCTCGATTGTTATCCAACTTTTTTTTTTATCCCTCCATTTCGCTTCCTTCATCGGAGGGGACCCCTCGATGTTTCGAGCTGCTTCAATTGAACGACGGAACCCAATTGAGCCCGGGAAAACATGACAGCAGGATATTCGTACCAGGGCAGTGGCGTAGGTGCCATCGAGGCCAAAGACGGCGACAGGGGGCTTGACGTTCTCGGTGGCAGCAGCGGCAGCGGCGTAGGTTCGGACGGCCGGGACACGGGGAGCAACGAGGCGCGACGCGGGAGCCGCCGCACGAACTGCGCGGGTAGCCGATCTCGAGAACATGGTGAACTTTCGGGTGGGAGTGTTCGTTTGATGGGAGTCGGACGGGGGGGCGTCGAGGCGGGGAGGGAGGGATGCTGCTGATTTGAGGAGCAGTGGTGGTAGCTGTCGGTTTTCGAGGTTGAGGTTTGAACTTCGGCAATTTGGGATGTTGATGCCTTGGGGCTGGCGCTGTGTCGTGCGCTGTTTCTGTGAGGCATCAACTTAGGTAAGCTGGGTCTCCAGGGTGGTCGGGTCGGTGGAAATCGGAGCTGGAATTCCACTCCGTGCTGTGTCCCGTCGTTACGTTACAGGCACCGGCCAACCAACAGCACGGAGCCTAAACAGACGCAAGCCCCACACCAATTGAGTTCCCTGTAAGCGATGATACGAATTGAGATGAACCATGAGTCCTTGGCGACACATTCGCCCGTGGCCAAAAGCGCGAAAACAGAGTTGGTCATGTCTAATGCTCGGATTCTCAAACCCATAGCCGGGTCGTCCGTAACCCTGTGTGTAGTCTACAGTAATATCACATATGTCGCTACGACGCCCCGTCGCGGGGCGCTGCAACGGTCTTAAAGCCCAACGCGCCCAGTCATCAGCACTTCCCTCATTGCAAGCCAGCCCGCGTCCCTGTTTATCCCCAACGCCTAGACAATGCAGTTTACTCATCGGCGCAAACATCGTCATTACTGCGCTCAATCGCTCTCAATCATCTTTTCGGCAAGGTCGTTCAAAGGCCCGTAAAAATCCTTGCCGCTCGCGAGCTTGTGCTCGTCGACAAACAGCACGTACTGCTTGAAGCTCGTGTTTAGATGGGGCTCAAGACCGAGCTCTCTGATGATGCTGTAGTGGTGGCAGTAGACGTGGGCGTAGACTCGGTACATGCGCTTGAAGATTTGTCGAACGTGCGACGGGAAGTTCTTGGGGAAGGGAACGCCTGAGCCTTGCTGTCAATACCACGTCCTCGCATGCAGGGGGGAGTATACGTACCAATCCTACTCGGCATCATCGTCTCGTTGTCGATGGTGCTTTGCACCCAGGTCATGAGGTGCTCAATGTAGTCCGGGGCTGACATGTGGGTTGGTTTCTTATACTGGTCACTATCCTGCCACAGATACTCGAATTCGTCCGTTGCCTTCATCTCGGGGCACGACTTGGGTGAGCAAAACTCGGTGATGGCGCCGTAGAGGAGATTGATCTGGTTGTAAAAGTCGACCACTATGCATTGCAAACGTCAGCCAGAACGGTACGCCGCTGCTGTCTTTCAACGCCTGGGATCCCTTACTGTTTACCGCCAACCACTCGTTCTCGTCCTCGCCCTCCGGCAGCTTCACGACCTTCCTCAGACTTCCTCCTCCCAGGGTCGCTTCGGCATACTGTCGCAGCGCAACACCATTGTTGCCTCCCTTGACGGTGCGCGCACGGAACTGGTTCCTACCGGCCTTACTGTTCCCGTCGCAGTCGTCGTCAGCGCTTGTCTCAATAACTTCGGGCTCATACGTCTTGATGACGGTCACGTTGCGAGTGACAGCATTGCTGCACAGAGGGTCTGGTGCCGCTGGCGGGGGCGAAGGCATCGGCAGCGATGGAATGCCTCCCGCCAGCAGCCCAGTCCTCACGTTGAGGTACTGCAAAAGGGACATCATCGGGGCCGCTGTTGTGGTGGTACTGACACTGTCATTCCCGGCACCGCGCTCATGTTTGCGGCTTGTCGAGAAGCGCTTGAGAATTCGGATGCGTTTTAATACTGTCGTCGTTTCGTTTGGGATCCTGCATTCCATTCCAACGGTAAGCGGGGTAATGGAACAGATAGAATCCACAAGATGTACGCCGAGATGTTGTTTGGAGCATGCCTACCTGCTGACGTCGGCGGACTTATGTGGTGGATGTAGGGGTCCGGTCGGTGGGAAAATGTAATGTTGGGGCTGAGGGTCAACCTGGGATCGCAAAAGTTGCAGGTTAAGCAAGAGATGCGGTGCAGGTTGTTGTTTTGGGATATCGGTAAGGTGCTGGTCAAAGGGTCCTTCCTCCCTATTGTGTTGGTGGTGTTTATGCGCTTGCCCAATCGGTGTGGTTGCTGGGCTGCAAGGGCCGGCTTTATGGATACTTCAGCCACATTCCCCCTTGTCTCTGTGGCTAGAGCGCGGGGTCATCTCCGTTGCTATTCCGCAATGACGGGCAGCCGGACGCGGTCCCATCTACGGACCTGAGTACTTCGCAGCTGTAAGACCCATTCTCCCAAACCCAAACGTTCGGGAGCCGATCCGTCTCTCGTGTCGAGCCATGCTTTATGGCGTCACTCCGGTTAAAAATCCAAAGCTTTGCAGACCGGGTCCTTACTCGTGTCTATCCATGTAAGTCCATCACGCTCAGCCCCCTACTGAGTTCTACCGGCCGCTCATTTTGAATAGCCTCAATACAAAGTGGGGAACATCCATCCCCGCACTCTCTGTTCCTGTTTCCCCTCTTTATCCCTTCCTCTGGGTCCAGGTAATGCCGGTCTGCTTTGCAACTACACTTGGGTGTCTTCGGTTGAGAAATGCCCGAGATTGTTCATTTTACGAAGGAAGCTCCAGACAGAGGCTAGAAGTGCTCATGGCCCCAACCTTTAGTCGTCATGGGTTGGGTGTCGATCTCCCAGGGTTCTGGTCGTGACAGGCCTTCCCCGCGCAGACGGAAATCCGGAGACGACGACGCGAGTTAGTTTACAAATAGTCATCAGGCCCGTTCTTGTATCTAATAGATCTCTAGCTCTGAACAAGTTTTGGAAGCTGTACTTGGAAGTTCTGGAAGTTGTCTGTCGCCATGCGTGCCTTAGACATCGTGCCACTACTATGTACCCTGGTTGAGGCCAGGATAGACCGGCAGAGGGTCGTTCAGGCTTTCAATCCTCGCCGTACTGCCAGTTCTCCTGAGACGCCGCTGCAGGTAGGCAATGGCAACTTTGCATTCGGGGCCGACATCACTGGCCTCCAAACCTTCAGTCCCTTCGCGACTATGTCAACGTGGGGATGGCACAACTTCAGCTTGCCCACAGCTCCGGGTCAGACGTCGATCGATGGTTCGTTCGCTGAAGACATTGACCTCTAGGAACCAGACACTGATTACCTTCGCAGACTACGATGGCACTGAGTGGTGGACCCATGGCCGGCTCGTCCAGTACAACATGGCCAACCCGACAAACAGTGAGATTGCTGACTGGCTCCGCGAGAACCCACATCGAATCAACCTTGGCACAATCGGCTTCTCTTTCAACGGCGGGAACATCACCACGGTCACGGAGAGCATGCTGGGCGACAAGGAACAGACCCTCGATATGTGGTCGGGTGTTATTCACTCGAGTTTCACACACAAGAACGCTTCTGTCAAGGTCGAAACCTGGGCCGATCCTAACTCTGACACCGTCGCTGTGGCCGTTGAATCAAAGCTTCTGTCATCCGGGGATTTGTCCATCTTTTTCGACTTTCCCTATCCGACGAACGACAAGTTTGGGGCGCCCTTCGTAGGTGCATTCAACTTGACCGACCAACACACGACCACTCTCGGGGAATGTGGAAAGAGCTATGCTACGATTCACCATAACCTGGCCACCGCAGAGTACGACCTGCGTCTTGGATGGGACAGCGGCAGAGTTGATGGAAAGTTGGCATCACCAACCGACGGGAGCCATCGGTATGTCTTGTCCGCAAGTGGCACTGACAAGCTCCGCTTCACGGCGAACTTCGCACCTTCCAAGCTAGCAAGCCAACCCAGCTTCGACGAGATTGCGAAAGCGTCCCAAACTTGGTGGCCGACATACTGGTCTAGTGGCGCCTTCATCGACATGACCGCCACCGCAAACGCAAACGCAACCGAGCTCCAGAGGCGGACGATCCAGTCCCAGTATCTGGTAGCTGTCAACTCGGCATCGAACTACCCTCCGCAGGAATCTGGCCTCGTTAATAACGGCTGGTTCGGCAAGTTTCACATGGAGATGGTCCTCTGGCACAACCTCCAGTTCGCCCGTTGGAACCACTTCCCTCTTCTATCCCGCTCTCTGCCCCAAACCTATACACGTCTCCTCCCTTCCTCGGTCTCCCGCGCCTTGACGCAAGGGTATGCTGGTGCCCGCTGGGGCAAGATGACAGACCCCTCGACTATCGATGCCCCGGGTGAGATCAACACCCTCCTCATCTGGCAGCAGCCTCACCCAATGTACTTCGCCGAGATGGAGTACCGCCACGCGCCAACCATGGAGACCCTGGAGAAGTGGGACGAGATCTTGACAGCAACGGCTGACTTCATGGCATCCTTTGCCTTCTTCAACGAGTCGACTGGAGTGTATGACCTGGGGCCGCCAATGTACCCCGTCTCAGAGAACACAAATCCAAATGCCACCGTTAACCCGACGTTCGAGCTGGCATACTGGCGCTTCGGGCTCGATATCGCGTTATCCTGGAAATCTCGTCTTGGGGAGCAGGCCCCTAGCACTTGGGAAACTGTCAGAGACAAGTTAGCACCACTACCCATTATTGATGACACATACCCCGTCTACGAAGGCATTCGGGGAATGTGGACCAACATATCCACTGTACAAGACCACCCAGCAATGTCGGGTATCTTCGGCCTCCTCCCACCACCAAGATCAGGCCCTGCTTTGAACCGGACCACTCTGGAAAACACAGCCGCCAAGATCTGGGATCTTTGGGATCTCGACGAGTCTTTCGGCTGGGATTTCCCCCTGCTTGCGATGAACAGCCTGCGTTTGGGTGACTCGCAACGAGCGGCTGAGTATCTTTTGCACTCGACTTTCCAATTCGACGATGCGGGTTACCCCGTCGGAGGGACTAGAGTGCCCACGCCGTATTTCCCTAGCTCAAGCAGTTTGCTCTTAGCAATGGCTATGATGGCGGGCGGCTGGGACGATGCTGAAGGCCCACACTTTCCGGAAAGTTGGAATGTTGTCGTAGAAGATTTCGTGCCGGGTTTGTAAATTAATCAGGATGGTTAGCCTAGAGATTTTTAAAGGTAGACATCCTCTCTAGTTGAACTCTCCACATGACCAACTCGTCTTTTCTACAGTCCCTTTCAGCGTGGGTAAGCTCAGATGCAATGTCAAAGTCGACCAAAGCTAGTGCACGGGACAATCCACTCATTGATAAAACACTGGCTGGAATCCGAAATGTTTGATTTCCCTATGCTGGCGTCCGTCATAACAACCAGACCCAGGATGGCGAGCATTTCACAATATTCTGCTCCCCATCCAACCAGCCGTTTGCTGCGGCGTCGAACGACAAATGTGAAGGGGTGCCGGTACGCCGTATCCTGGCGCTCATCCCACCAGCACCTGAAACTCCGCCTTTCCATCCTCTCGTCTTTCAAGTTGATATTCACTCCCTGATGCGCATTCAGGCGTTTTGCCATTTGATCATTCCAAGGGCTGCAGAGTAAAAGAAGCTCCGGTGCGGTAGAGCGGAGCTTAGAGCAGAATTTCGCCCATATTCTCGCCTTCGAAGCCTAGCTTGCTCAACTTCTTGATGCGACTCTTGTCACGCGCCTTGTCTTGCTCCTTCTTCTCAGCGGCCAGCTTGTGCACCAGCTTAAGGTCAGCCGGCTCGTAGCCCGGGGGTGGGTCGTCGTCCTTGTCAAGGTCGATCTCGCCCAGGAGGAGCACATTCTCGCCGCGAACGAGGAAGATGCCTCTCTTTATGTCGGCAAAGAGCCCCGAGGGGCGGGGTGGGTTCGCCTCCGGATCAGGGTGGGCAAAGACACGTTCGATGGTGTCTTGAAGGACGAGGTTTGCTGGTGACGCGGAGAGTGTCAGTCATTGCGTCTATGCCACGCATCTGTATGCGATGCACATACCGAACTGATCCCAGCTGCGAAGGACACCGATCAGTTTGCGACCGTCACGGAGGGCGACCATAAGCTTTTCTACAGTCTGGCGTTAGCCAGCTACGTCAATTGCGCCTGCCTCAAGTCAAGCAGGCAACGGCAGTCGCGTGTTTTGCCTTACTGTCAGTAAGATCCAGCAACTGGGCGGCGGTGGTGAACATCTGCGGCGGAAGTTGAGTCTGTTGGGGAGGAGGCGGCGCGCGGCCGCCGAGAGCGGATTGGCCCCCCTGTGCAGGGGCGTCGGAGATTGTGAGGTTTTCCATGATTTTTTTTCCCCTCGTTATCTGGTTGGCATTGGTATTTGAGAATTATTGCATTCGGACCAGTCCCAGGCCATCGATTATGGGCCAGGGGAGAAAATGCGAAAAGAACAAGCAGGAGCTTATGCGAGGGCGCCAAAAAGCATCATCGAGGTGGGAGCGTGCGTGTCGGTCTTGTCTAGTTCGATGGCAGTAGCCTTGCGATTCTGCCCCGTTTCGCTGCTGAGATACGGGCTGGAGTGCGGTGGGTAGGTAGTGTGGTGTTCGATCAAGCCATCATCATCGTGGGTCCACCCTGGTCACCTCAGCTCTTGTGGGCGACGGCGTTGGCAGGCGGTGCTTCAATGTTAGGTTGAGGTGGGTCCCAGCCGTCGTCGGAGGGAATGTTTTTGCGGCATCCGAAAAAGAAAACCCGACTGCCCTGAATGGATCCCGCCTGGACGGCAGCTGACACTTTTGGGAGCAAACCCCGGCTGGAACTCCGAGCACGGATCGTCGGGTGACAGGCGTTTGGGCGGCTGGGGCACGTGAAAGGCGGGGCATGAGTCAATCCCCTGCTGCCAAAAATTCTGATGATCTCAGATGCATGCGGGGCATACAGTCAGTCGCTGATGTTCCTCCAGCACCAGTCACTGCTCTCGCCCTTGGAGGGGTTATCAGCTTGACCAGTCTGCGTCCCAGCTTGGCCTTTTTTTTTTTTTTTCCTTTCCCCTTCCCCCCTCCCCGCCCTTCTTCTGTCAGTGAAGGACCATGACGTGAGCGCTTGACCTCTGGTAGCGTGCTGCGCAACTGCAGGATATGGATGGAGGACAACCAATCTTGGATCCTCGTGTCACACGAACCTCCAGAGCTGGAAGCTTACTTTTACCTCTAGCTATTTTGTTTCTTTCTCGCCTCTGTGGAGACTACTTGCGCTCTGTCTAATAAGCAGTGATGGGGCCCTTTTTTTGGTGTGTATGTAAAAGCAGAACCGACAGATCCGAAAAGCACTCATTCGGGTCATGGACGAAGAAGACTACGACAAACTGTGAATTCAAGCCTTCCGCTTCGCCCGGTTGTAACGACCAAATACCTTCTTACGCACCAAAGCCATGCTGGTTCATAGCCGCCCACTTTTCCCACCATCTATAGCAAGCCAGCCGATAACGCCCATTCGTGATGCAATTGTTTGTTTCCCCCATATTCTTGGTTAATGAAAAATAATGATGTTTCGTTTGTAAAGCAGGCAACGTCGCTAATTGACTTTACGTCCAACAAGTTCAGAATCTCCGTTCCGAGATTGAGTACGAGGGGCCATTGGGGCTTGTGTGGTCTGCGTTTCGTGAGACAGTGTATAGCAGCGGCGAGGCGTAATCCGGGCGGCTCGCGGTGTATAAAGACCTTGCAGTAATGCTCGCGCAGGAAAGGTGCATGCGTCGCTTTCATATCATGAGCAAGAGACGAGGGACCAAGGCGCCAACGCGCCCATTGCGTATCATGACTTTTTCATAGTGCATCTAGTCAAGGCTTCAAGAAGCTCTGGCCGTGCCGCCAACGCTTCCTTGGCCTGGGTGTATGTCATCCATTGACGCTCCCTCTTGTGCTTCTCGGGCCAGTTGTCCTCTTGGCGAACGACTGTCGCTTCGTAGAATCGGTACAGGGACTTTGACGAGTCCTTGCTGGAGTGCTTCGGCGGGCGAGTCTCGACGATATCTCCCAAGTCATAGTTGATCTCGATGCTGATGCCTGCTTCTTCCCAGGCCTCGCGGGCCGCTGCCTCGGTGCACTCTTCGTCCGTCTCCCAACCGCCTTTGGGCAACACCCAGCCTTTCCTACGAGTAGACTGGATGAGGAGAACGTAGTGCTTGTCCTCTGTGAGGGGAACAACGCCGGCAACCAGACGCTCGCCTTTGGAGTTGTAACCTGCAGGACAAGGTGTTAGTGGGTCCCGCGCTGCAAGCAGGCGCACCAGGGTTTGAGGGGAGAGACACGGAGAATGGGAAAGGGAAAGCCTCTGCCCGCAATTGCGCACTTACGCTGCTTGCTTCTTCCCGTGCGCGACTCCATCGTCCGCTCCTTATGAGAGGAAGACATGCTAGGCAGCCTGTTGTTGTTGAATTCGCGGGAATTTGAAGTGGTGGGAGGGGTGTCGGAGGAGCAGACTAGGTAGTTGTGGGCTGCAGAGCTGCTCTGATATGTAGTCGCGGTAGCGTGGCGGTAGCGGTAGGTACGGCAACAACTTTTTTTTTTTTTTTTTTCCTTCTTTTTCTTTTTTGGCTCCTTTCTCGCGGTTGATGTGCAAGTCAAAAAGGTGCCGGGGCGTCGGGGTTTGGCGAGGGCTCAAAGGCTTTTCAGCGACATGATCGCGTATTCAGCAGAGCAGTTTCTTGTTCCAAACGGCAGTCGTTCGCTCTCTGAATCAAAGGTTGTTGCGAGATTTGGACAAGTGAATGGCGTGGTGATGGCGCGCGCTCTGTAGCTTCGGATGGAGTCGGTTGTGAGCTTCCAGATTTCGCTGGAGGCCAGGACGTGGTCTTGTCTGAACAGGGCACCACTCCCACACGGTGTGATCGTAGGCGCGGCAGAGCAAGAGGGAACGCTCGGATGGATTTGATGCACCACCGCTGGAGAAACGAGTGGGACCAGCCTGAGGTGTGATGGGCCAGCAAGTCGCACGCTTCCGGCCGGAGGGCAGATTTTGGCTGAACCGACGAGTCACTCGGGCGGCGGAAGTAACAAGCGGACGTAGGCGCAAAGTCGAGTTGAGCGGCGAGAAAAGCAGGCAGCAAGAGTTGTATGCTCAGCCTTGGTAAGCAGCTGGTACACCAGAGGCGAAGTACGGATGGAGGCGAGGTAGACACAAGGGCAGCGTCAGATATGACTGAGGCACCACCGACTGACGACAGACCGCACCTTGGTGAGAGGGTGAGGGCGAGTTTCGGGTAGAGCGTCTGGCTTACGACCTGGCCGGCAACGGCACAAGACTAAGAAGACTAAAAAAAAAAAAAAAAAAAAAAAAAAAAAACCGAAAGGGTTCAACGTGGGAGAAGAAAGAGGTTGAAGCCGGGAAGGGCCAGGAAGGTTGAGGGAAGCTGTTGTAGCAGTGGCTGTAGTAATAGCTGGGAGCTCTGGTGCAGACCAGAGGGTGGCATGTCTCGTGCCATAGCAGCAGAACGGGGGAACGGGCTTCAGGGGAAATTAAAGTTGATTTATATACTTAACCCTTTGAAGATGGAGCTTGTGCTCGAACAGCCCACGCGTGCTAGGGAACGACTATGGAAGTGGCCCAGCTAGCACGTCCGGCCCAAAGAAAGGGAAGGGGGGGAAAAATTAAAAGAGAGGTCAGGGTATGATGCCAGACCAGGTTGTAGCGGTAGGGAGTGCGTTGTGTGGCTGCGGCGTGTGAGTGAGATGCGAGTGTGTGTGGGAGAGGAAGTGGGCAATGGGAGGTGTGGGCTGAGCGTAAAAAACCGAGAGAAGATAAACACGGGCAAACGGTGCACCGTACCAAGCAGTATGTACTGCATAGGTAAGGTAAGGTAAGGTAGGTAAGAAACGAGAGAGGAAAAGAGAAGGGGGGAGGTGTGTGTTGTGTTGTGGGAGCGAGCAAGCATTGGGAAAGGACGGCGAGATGGGGCGAGAAAGAGAAAGTGAGTGAGTGACATGCATAGGAAAGCTTCCTGTTGGTCTCTGGGAGTGGGAGCCAGGGCGGGAGCAGGGACAGCTCCGGTTCTGAACAATGGAACCCCCGCCGGCCCAGGCCCAATCCAACCGGCGGAAACGGGGGGTAGGTAGGTAAGGTAAGGTAAGGTACCTAAGGTAACTTCAGAAGCAGCAAGAAGTGCCTTCCCGATCCTTTGCATCGAGCAGCAACTCGCGTCGCAGCGGAAATGGAAGCAAGAACAGCAGACGGAGCCGCTAATCTTCATGAAGCAAGCTGACGATCGATGGGGGTCCCAGGTCCCAGGTCCCAGGCCGGTCCAGCTAGACCCAGTGTTCCAGCGCTTTCTCGCGGTGCTCGGCGTGTCAGTGTCAGGCCTGTATCCCGTTCATACGACCTGGAAGATCACTCATCTTGGTTACGAGCAGGACATGGAACCCGGTCTTCCAATTCGCACCTTGCCAAGTCCTTCATTCACTTCACTGGACAATCCATCCCGCGCCCTCGTCGCCGCCAGCTCTGCCCCTCCCACCAAACGCCAAACACCAAACAACGCAGAGCACAACGCTTAAGCATTGGGTGCCAAATGTGCCGCATGTCCTGCAGGCTCGGCATCCACTGCACTTGCGGCAGGGCATGTTCCCAAAAATGCGTTAGAGTGGTGGGGTGCTGCAGTCGGGTTTTGATGCGACTGGAAGACCGTTCCGGCAGTAATAGTAGGTAGGTAGGTAGGTAGGCACCTTGGACCTATCCACGGGCCAATGGAAGGGTCGGGTGCCTGAGGTGTTTACCAACCACCACGACTCTGCAGTGTGTCCAGCAAACACCCCCGCCGTCAACCAGCGGCACGGGCTGCTTTCCCACCAGAACTGCCTTCCTGAGTCCTCCCGTCCCCCTGAGGAGCCAACTCGTCGCGAGGTAAGGTGCCTACCTAAGGTACCTACCCACCTGTATCCGTAAGGTACCCAGCCAGGCCTGCCATCGTTTTGCCGCTCCCGTCCCCGTGTCCATACTCCCTGATTCTCTCAGGTTTTGGTTTAGCACCGTTTCCGAAGCTCTGCAACACTCACAGACATTCTTCGGCCTCAAGACCCTGCAACTCTCTCGCGTCATCAACCACTTTTCCCAGTCCTGTCGCCAGACGGCAAGAGATCCATCATCTTTGAAACCTGCGGGTGAACGATAAAGACCTCTCTATTTCGCCGAGGTCTTGTCCAGAGAGGTTTAGAAGCCCAGAGTCAGGATAGCGTATCCTTTGAGTTTGCCTCGCGCCTCTGAAGGTTGCGTTGCGGCTTGCCAGAAAGAAGACTAAACCCTTCTGCCCAGTAACTATTAGCTACCTACCTATCTACCTACCTACACACAGCGACTCTCTCAACCTCGCCTGTTCTTGCTCCAATGACTCTCCCCACCAGACAACACCGCGCACGATCGCGCCCTTCTGCTTCACATCCACGCCCCCTTGTTTCCCTCTCTTGGCACGCACCCTGCCGTTCCGTTTCCGTTTCTCAGTCGCCTCAATTGAGAAGGCAGAGCCGGTGATGAGACTGGAGCAAATGATGATGCTCTCAAGAGCCCATCATGAGCTTCATGTCTTGGCGACCTCCTCTCAGCCAAGCGATGCAACGAACAAGCATATCGCTGGGAGATGTGTCCAATGCAAGCCATACCTTGCCGCTGCTAAAACAAACGAGGGCAAGAGCGGCGGTTTGAACAGCCGTTGTCTGCACCTTCACCCATGGCCCGAGAACCAACGAGCGTGACCCTGCAGCGAGTACACCACCGCCTACAACGCGAATCTGTGTCAGCCAGCGAAGAATGACCTTCAAACCGGCATGCAAGCAAAGATCCTTCTGACCCCATCAACCCCCTCTTCAAAGTTCAAAGCAGGGACTTGGCAACCACCGCTGGGGCTGCTGCACTAAAGGACTAATTAAGATCGGGTGCAAAAGAGACCGGTCAGTGGACCCGAGGAACTTAGGCGCCTCCTTTGACATGCGGACAGCGTGGCAGATGGAGATATCGGCCTGCATCTCTGCTTGATGATCGCCTGTGGACGGACGACTTTGGTGTTGCATCCAAGTCATCAATGAAGACAGAGCCCAGACTCGACCTGTCCACGCGGGCCAGTTCGGTTCAAACAACGAGACAGGTCTAGAGGTTGCTTCAAGACACGGCATTGATCAGCCGCTCGCATCACTGTAATTCTGTGTGGAATCCGGAACCTTCTTGAGCCCATACTTCCAAGATGAACCGTCGTTCATCTTTGGCGTCTTCCAGAAGCGGTTCCACTGATCCGGTTCTCCCCTCGGGGCGCGCCTCGGGGGGCATGCAGCCAACCGTCCACTGCAGTCCGTCCAAAGTAGAATTGGAGAGGCTACCGGAATGCATGCCACCACACTCCGTTGCCTCTCTGCACCACTGAAGGAGGTCCGGCCTCTCAAACGACGACATGAGAATAGACCAATCCAGTCTTCCGGCTGTGTTCTGATGACGGCTCATTGTGGGGGTTTCGCATGTGCCCAAGGCATTCTGAAGATTCGATTCTGTAAGTCATCCTCATGTTCATGGAGGAGTGAGGCACACTGCCATCCGCCATCGCATCTCAACTCCTGGTCAGGTCCATCTCTCTCGTCACTCCAGATCCGACAGAGCCGCCGCCACCATACCCTGGCTCGCTTGTCTTAAGTGCGATTCCTTGAACCAGACAGAACCTGATTTTACTCAGTAATCAGTCGGGAGGTAACGCTGGCAGCTCGCATCACACGTGCTCCAAGCTCCGAGCTCCTGCATATCCGTGCCTCCATCTCTGTTCCGAAAGACTTGCAAACGGGCGTCTTCCAAGCAGAACGCGGTGCAAAGCAATACCGAGAGAGGGCCAAGGGCAAGTACTCGAATCCGACTCACACACCTACAGGCCCTGCCGCGCTGGCAAGGCAAGACGATCCAAGACGTTGGGCTGGCAGTTGACGGTATATTGTACGCCACGGATGAGTGCCTACTGGCTGCAGCTAAGGTAAGGTAGGCAGGATAACGGCCAGGCAGAGATCAAGGTCGTCACACTTTGGGGATTCATGGCCCCATGTATTCGACGTTAATTGGCCGGTGCAGACTACAAATACAGACGGGCCCGTGATACTAGCAAGCTTCTTTGGTCATCCTAGAGCGAGCCTCATCGCAGCACGGCAAATTGTATCACACCTGCGCGCATTCCTTTGCTTCGCCTCACCTCTCGCCTTGCCTCGCAGCGCAAATTGCTGAACAGGGCAATAGTGTGCAGTCACACTTACAACCAATCAGCTGCACTTTTCAGCGCTGCATCTCTCAGCAACGACGACGGGAGACAGCCAAACCCCCAAATCCCGTCCAGGCCGGGTCTGACGACAACACAACTGCCCCTCCATCCCAGGCTTCCCCGAGCCCCGCCATCCGA